TATATATATATATATATATATATATATATATATATATATATATATATATATATATATATATATATATATATATATATATATATATATATATATATATATTGCCAACAATTTTTGTTGCAGTCAACATTTTCATATATATATATATATATATATATATATTATATATATATATATATATATATATATATATATATATATATATATATATATATATATATATATATATATATTGCCAACAATTTTTGTTGCAGTCAACATTTTCATATATATATATATATATATATATATATATATATATATATATATATATATATATATATATATATATATATATATATATATATATATATATATATATATATATATATATATATATATATATATATATATATATATATATATATATACATATATATATATATATATATATTATATTATATGTGTGTGTATATATATATATATATATATATATATATATATATATATATATATTATATATGTGTGTGTGTGTGTATATATATATATATATATATATATATATATATATATATATATATAATATATATATATATATATATATATATATATATGTGTGTAGTTTTTATTGCTTTTATGTTTAGTAAATACCTTTATTTAAACATGTGTTTATGTTTAGTAATACATTTCTTGCTGTATTGTATTATAATCAGCAAAAAATTTTTAATTTTTAAAAGTAATATTATAAATATATATATATATTTTTTTTTATTATAGATAATTTTATTTTTAATTATAATATTAAAAATAATAATCACAATTTCTACAATTTGTATTTAGTGCATTGATCTAACTGTAACTAAATAAGAAATGAAATATTATATTTTAAAATATGTAACTGAATCTTATTTTCAAATAGATAATAAATAAAATGGGAAAAGTTGTTAAGTCCCTTAAAAGAAGAACTTGCTGCACAAGTTCTCGGTTTGCAGGACTACCAAATGATCTTTCTGTTAGCGACCTTCCCACATTTAAACAAGTTATACAGTTCAGCTATAAACTCAATAAACAACTCACTGCCTAAAAAATAACTGTTTAACAAATTGTTTCTCAAATAAGCATTAAACTTGTTGAGCTATGGAGAAAAGTGAACTCTAAACTCCCCTTGATCCACGAGAGAAATATACAGAAATAAACTTGAGTTACTTTTTAAAAAAGTTTTATGTGCTGAACTTAAAAAATCAAAAGGGAACAAATCCAACATCGTCTAAGAAAAATTTTGATTCATTGTTTGCTTTGTCTGCTTGTAATTGTGAACTACCTGTTGCTAATTGTGATGACAGGTATAATAAAAACTTCTTCATCAAGTTTTAAATTTAAATAGTATTTTTATTAACTTACTTTAAATTTTTTTCATATTTATTCTAAAATGTAAATAATATTTAACAACTTAATTAAATCATTTCTGCAGACTGGTTAGATGTGACATTAAGGATTGTTTTAAAAAAGCATATATTATGCAATTGTGATGAAGAAAAAAAGGTATTTAGCAACTAAATTTTTAGACTACAAAAATCAATTTTTTAAGGACATTTATTACAGCAAAAAATATTTCATTAGTGTTTACTTGTTTTTTTAATTTATGTACCAGTAAATGAAAGGGAGTACCTAAAAGACCAAAGAGCTAAAAAGGGTGGAAAAGGGTCACTTCAGATAAGCAAAATTGATCAAAAAGAACTGTTCAAATTACAGAATAAACAAGTAATTGGAACATTGTATAAACAAGTCTTGTGTGGAAAGTCTTAAAGAATCAAATTTAGTGGTAAATAGGCATATGTAAATTATTTATTAGTGATTCATATGTATAATTAAATATTTAGAAAGAAGTGTCTTAAATTGGTACTTAAGTTGGTTTAACCAGTATATTGTTTAATTCAAATCTATTTACTTTTTGTTTAGTGTGATGATCCTTGCTCTGATGATTGTGATGACGGTGAAAGGAAAAATGATCCAGATTTTTATGAAGATATGTCTACTTTACATAATTACTAACACTTGCCTAACTTTGCAAAAGCAGCAATACATTATAGAATTAGTAACAATGCCGCGGCTCATTAAGGTACAGGATTACTTATTGACTATGGCATAGTAACAGCTGCTGAAAGAACTAATATCATTACAGAAAAGAAAGTTTTTAGTGAGAAGTTTAGAATAGGAGAACAACTTGACATTAACCATAGTAAAGAAGTTTTTCAATTAAAAGTTATCGGAGTTGATGATAAAAAAGATAAAGAAACGCTTGTTCACACAATTGCTTACAATTCAGAAGGTGAGCCAATTATAATACCTGGAATTGTAAAAGAAGCACATCTCAGATTTACTGCAGAAAGTGGAACAAAAAAAAAAAAGAAAATATTTAACACATAAAATTTTTACAAGTGGAACTGGAGTTTCTAAAGCAAATGCAACTAAACAAGTGCTAACAGCACCAAAACTCTTGACAATACAAGTTCAAATACTGGTACAGACAATGGTCTCGTTGTTAAGCTAGAAAAATTTATAAATAGAAAATTACATTTAGTTGAATGTCAACTACACCAAAATGAATTGCCATTAAGACAAGTAATTATTCTACTTGATGGAAACACAAATGATCGAAAGAAATATAAAAGTCCAGTTTGTTCAATGGTTTCAGAAAATTCCATACATGAACTCCCTTTAATAGTTTATTCTACAATAATGTCCGAAATTCATTCATTTGTGGATGGGCGTGTTGTTTCTGATTTAAGCAATGATCAAAGAAAATTATATGAATACAACATTGGTATAGTAGCCTCCTCGTCTGTAGTGGCCTTCTCGGCCTTGAGGAGGTGAATAACAAAAAAAAAAAAAAAAAAAAAAAAAAAAAAAAATCTTCAGGTAAAGTTTCAAAAAAATATGCAATGACAAAACCTGGACCTGTGAATAAAAAGATAAAAGAAGTCGTCTTTTAAAACTTAGCTGGAAATTCATTTTGCTGTTTACAGGAATATTTTCTCCATTGCATGATAATGGATAATGAGAAAGTAAATCGCGACAAAGCCATAGATCGAATACTCATTATTAGGAAGCTAAATGAAGAAAATAAAGAATTTGTTCCTAAGCTTAAACCCAAAACAATAATGAAAATTGATTTTGATTGTAACTGCTGGATTGATCTTGTTCAAATTGAAGTAGAACCTCCTACTACAATTTATATTTCATCTGTTGAACTGATGAAAGCAAAAGAATCTGGAGAGGTTTTACCGCTTACATTTCTTCCAAACAACTCTCAGTCAGTTGAACGTGCAGTTAAGTCAGTAACCAAAGCATCAAAACTGGTATATGGTCTCAAAAAAAGGCACAACTTTATTCTTACTAAAGATCAGAGTAGAAAAGAAAATCATAGAAATGTTACCATAGAAACCAAAAGCAATTATTTTGTTCCAAGCATTTAAAAAAAGAACTGTTTAATGTAACTCTTGTAATATTAATTATAATAAGAACAATTTATTTATTTGAACTTTATTTATGTAAATTTATAAAATTAAATTTATATTAGTTTTCCAAGGTTTAGGTATTAGAAAATGAACTGATACGCTTTTTTTAAAGCAAAATAAAAGGGTTTAAAAATAAAATTATTTTTAAGCCACGGTTTTTTGTTTTTGGGGTGGTGTAGGCATTATTTAGGAAAGGTGACACGAATCTTAAATAGGCTTTTTATAAAAAAGTTCCCTAAAATAAAACATTTTTTTGATATATTGATCATAGCAGTGGAGAGGATTCCCCACGCAACTTTACTAACTCCTAACTGGAAGAAGAGGCAGTCTGAACAAGCTGTTCTTTTATTAATTTTTTTTTAGTAATACCTATAAAGAGAAAGTTTCTTTAGACATTTATGAGTGGAGGTCACTGGGGGCATGGAGAGTTGCCACATGGCCTAAGAAAAACCCTGATTGGCGCCCCAATTATTTAAAATTTTTCTATATCAGAGAAGGACCTTATTTTTTTACGTAACTTTTCTTTGGCACCCCTTGAACATCTGCTGCCCGGGACAAACTTTCATGCCACTAGTCATGCCAATAATATTGATCATTATTATTTATATTATTGTCTTAGATGCTTAAAAGTGTTAATTTATGACTAGCATGTTCACCGCCCCCTATCACCCTAATATTACATGGGTGGTTGGCCAGTGATAGCTAACAACATTATTATAAGCCTTAAACATAAGATTTGAACCAGTTTTTGTAACATGATTTATTTAACGAAAGTTTATGTATTCGCACAAAAATAGCCAATTTTATTCATTTTTAAATATTAAAGCCCGAATCAGTTTTATGTTTTATATATATATATATAAATATTTTTTATGTTCTTAGTTCATGCGTCCATACCAATTTTTGTTTTCGAAAAATTTTGCTCAGTGGAATTGCTCTAGTATGTATACACAGTGGAAAACCCCTGTATTAATAAACAAGTGAACCATGTCAGAGGCTATTCTAGGAAAAAATTTGGGCAGCAGTACCCCCTGTGCCGGAAAAATTTAGCGGAAAATCTACGTTTTTTTGCAGCAAATAACAATATTTGCTGTAAAAAGCATGAAAAAAAGGCCTCAAATTTTAATTTGGGAGGTGCCCTAATATGGTCGATGTTGCCGAAAACGGTCTAGAATAGCCCCTGCGTGTAGGAATGACATATTTAATTTAGTTTATTAAAAAATACTTGGTTCTTATATAGTTTTCTTTAATACTTTTATAACACTTGCTACATTTACTTTTTTCTTGTGTTAATTATATTATCTTTATCTATTATACTAATTTCAGTATTTTGCACTCATTTTATTCATATATTTAAACTGATAATGTTTATTTTAAAGTCAAAATAATTTATTACAAAATAATACTTTTTATGTCATAAAATTTATCATATAAAACTTAATATTTAAAAATGTAAAATATTATAAAATAATTTTAAAAGTTTTTAAAAATAAAAAAAATCTTTACTTTTCAACTGAAGTACTTTGTGTTACTTGCATTGAAAGAGAGGCTAACGCAGAAACAGCATCAACATCTTCTTTTTCAGTTTTGATGCCATAAAAATGTGAGTTGAGATTAGATGCTACATGCTTAATACCTGGCCAATATCTACCTAAAATTAAAAATCATTTTAATAAATCCTGAACATTTTATTTTTTTAATTGTTTTTTACTTAATTTTAAAAGTACCTTGCAATTCAACAACTTTCTCTAAACATTTTATTGCATTGTCATTAGGCTTCCCTTTTAATACCTTCTCTGATAATTCATTTGTAGAACAACCCAACAAAGCACGTATACAACTTTCTGAAGCATCGCAAAGAGTTTGTAATATATACCTTAAAACAACAAAAAAACACTTACAAAGATGAATACATTTATACTTAGAAACTAAAATGTTCAGAATTAACAAAGAAATATATATACCCTCCTTCCAGTACAAGAACAACTTTGCCATTAGCAAACTGCATTAGTTCCTTTGTCATGTATGAAAAACCTGTGAAAATACTGTTTATTAAAATCCAATCCTTAGGTCACACAAAATTCACAACAATATATGCTAGTAAATAATAACTATTATTATTATAACTATAATTGTTTTCTGTAATCACAAAACTTTAAATTACTTGTAGTCTGTAAGTAATCAACTGTTAGGAAAATTAGAAAAAAAAGGAACAAATCTTTTAAAATCTTTTAAAAAAGTTAGCTTTATGAACTGCTAAAAAAACCTTTAACTTGTTTTATCTCTCTAATACTGTATCAAAAAAAAACAAAAAAAAAAAAACACTTAAAACTATTTTTAACAATTAAAAGCTAAAATATAAAGTATGTTTTTAAAGAAAAATATGTTTGAAAAAATTATTTTTTCAAAACCTTTTTCAGAATTACAAATAGATAAATAATACTTTAAAATATCATGTAACAACATTTTTTTAAATTTAATATTTAAACAAGATGTTGAAATAACATTACCTTAATTAAATTTAAATCTTTTACAAATAATAAAATGTTAGTATAAAAACTTATATGAAGAGAATTCACTACAAATTTTCATTATATATTTACATTAAAGTAATGACAGACAAATATTAGACAATAAATGCATATATAAAAAATACTAATATGTCATATATATATATATATATATATATATATATATATATATATATATATATATATATATATAATATATATATATATATATATATATTAGTGATGTACCGCATACCCGGTTATTTTGCTGTTTTCTTGGGTACCCAGATAAAATACCATACCAGTACCATCTTGAAAGATATTTTTTAACAAACATTTAACTTAAATGCTCTGACTATATGTTTAAGTAGTAATTTAAATTATTTTAAAATGCTATTAACAGGATTTCTTTTAGTTTTAACTTCAATCAAACTTCTTGATATAAATCTGAGAGTCTTATGGAGTCAACAACCACAAAGCCCTATTTACTCAATATAGACATGTTACACTTTAAATATTTTTTTTCATTTTATTCACACTACAGTCGAGAAGGCCTACTTTTTTTTTTTTTTGTCTCAATCTTTTATTTTCCGTAACATAACTTTTGATTAATTAGAGTATATAAATAAATTAATTAGATTAGAGTATAAAAATAAATTATATATAATACCACAACTATAAAACGAAAATTAGTTAGCCGGAACAGTATTTTTTGAAGTTGATAGAACATAGATCATCCAGGTCATGTTTTAAAAATCTGGAAAATTGTTTAGATAAAATAACCGGAAAAATCCGAAATATGTTTTTTTTAATCCGAAATATGATACCATTATTATTAAAACAAAAAAATCACAAATAAAATGTCTTTTAATAAGATTGTATAAACATTATCTGCAGTATTGTACTAAAGAAAATATTTTTGCAAAATGTTTTTTTTATAAAACTAGTTTTAATTTATATTGCTACAATAATATCATTTTTAATATTGTAATAATATTTGTTTATACTTTCTTATACTAATATTTACTACATTTAGAGAGATGTATAACTTTTTTATTTTAAAAAAATAAAATGAAAAAAAAAACAAACAAAAAAAACAACAGTAAAAATGTAAAAACTGCTGTTAAAACTTTACTCAATATTAAACTAATTATAATAGTAATTTTTTTTTAAAAAAAGTAAGGTTTAGAAGGAACCACCTAATTTATATTGACATTATAAACAATTGTTTATTAAAAATTTTATACTGCAATATAAGTTTGTATCACATCTATGTTTGAATAACATCTGCCCACAGTCATGCCCACATGCTTTATGGTATTTACATTTTTTTAAAATCTTAATTCTTATAATCTATATAAAGCGCTTAAAAGTAAAATAAATATAAAAAAAGCAATAAAAAATAGTTACCACTACATAAAATATATTTCTACTACTAGTACATCAGCACATTATGATATTTAAAAGTATTTATAAATATTTTCCATTTTTAAAAGTTTATATATTTTCCTTTTTTAAATATTTTCTTTTTTAATTACTTAAAAGTTTATAGTTATAAAAATAAGTTTATAAGTTACTTACATGCCGAAGACACATTATAACCGCCTAGTGCATCTGAATGACCTCCAGCAGCATTAAAACCTGCAGATATGAGAATGATGTCAGGTTGATATTCTTTTACAACAGGTAAAACTACTGTTTGAAATGCAGCTAAATACTCCTTATCACCATACTCAAGATCTAAAAAAAAAAAAATTAAAAAAACAACACTTTACATATCTTAATTTTAAAGGGATCCCAAACCTCTGAGACATGTGTCCATATCAAAGAGAATGATAATTGTTGTAGGCAAAAAAAAAACACCATAATATACGCTATAAAAAAGAGTCCTATAAAAAACAACTTTTTTAAAAAATGTCTGCTGGCACCCCTTTAACTTGTTATATATAAAAATAAAAGTGGTAAAAATATAAAATAATTTTAGATTTTACTGCCTAGAAAATGAAATTTTTCAACTAAAAATTAAAAAAAAATTATTTTTAGTTGAAAAATTTCATTTTCTAGGCAGTAAAATCTAAAATTATATATATATATATATATATATATATATATATATATATATATATATATATATATATATATATATATATATATATATATATATATATATATATATATATACATATATATATATATATATATATATATATATATATATATATATATATATATATATATATATATATATATATATATATATATATATATATATATATATATATATATATATATATATATAAAATATATATATATAAAATATATATATATATATACATATATATATATATATATATTTAATATATATATATATACATATATATATATATATATATATATATATATATATATATATATATATACATATACATATACATATATATATATATATATATATATATATATATATATATATACATATACATATATATATATATATATATATATATATATATATATATATATATATATATATATATATATATATATATATATATATAAAATATATATATATATAAAATATATATATATATATACATATATATATATATATATATTTAAAAAGTGATGATCATTTTTAACATTTTTACATAAATTCACTTTTGAGACCCAACAATTAGATATTTATTAATATAATTTATTTTATATATATTATAATTTATTTTATATATATCATAATATATTATAAATTATTTAATTTGAGACCCAACAATTAGATATTTATTTTTATAAATGATAAAAAAAAAAGATTTAATCATAGATTTTCTTTTTAAACATATTTTACTAAAGAAAGTTAACATAATCATATAATCAAATAATTAAACTTTTTTTTTTTACTTTTTTTATAATGCTCAACTAACAAAAAGTTTAGTTTTTAAAAAAGGTTTTTTTGTTTTGTTTTGTTTTAATTATTTTATCTTATTTAACTTTCTTGTTATATTTCATTAACAAAATTATTTAGGGAAAGGCCAAGTGAGAGTTTATACATCCACTGAATTATATACCCATAGACGTAGAAGAGTGCACATACATTAACTGAGAGTTTTAATTTGGGCAGGCAGTCTACAGTGAGCCAAAATCTTTATTAGCAAAACAAAAGGAATAATTTTTTATCATATTTCATTAATTTATCCAATTTTCTCCATAATTATCAGGTTGAGTATTTTTCATACTACGAATGTAATAGTGACACAACTGGATTGTTTATTTGGTTGCTTGGGATATCTGATAGGCACAGCATTATTGCATTTTACAAGTTTAAAATAGAATAATATTAATGCTACTAACATATTGTAATTTATTTTATGTATTTGAATGATTACACACACACACAAGCAGAGATCAATGTCAATGACATATTTTAGGCTGCTTGTAGGATAGCAGTATATTTTAGTTTTTAAGTTGTTGTTAACATTTTTTAAAAACTTAACTATCGATAAGTTTTCACAAAATGTTAACAACAAATTTTCAATCAAATTTTTTATAAACAAATTCTCTTGTTTTAAAACATCAAAGCAATAAATAAAAGATACAGAATTTTATTGCCTCAAAAAGTGCCGCACATGTGACAACTCCAGAACTTCTCAACCAATTAACATCATAACAAGAACAAAAATCAATTTTTTATGATATGATAATATTATACAATTACATGTAATATAAATAATTTTTTTATTATGTCATTAATATTTGGTATAAATATTAAGATTTTAATAATGCTTTTATAAATATTATTGTTTTAATATTAATGAATTTAAATTGAATATCCATTCCCATCTTTGACTTTACAATGCATAAAAGTTATGAATTGTAAAGTCAAAATATTATCAATATATTTATCATTTGTTGTTGTTTAAGCAAAATTGATGGATTCTTTTAATAACTCATAAACTTGCATATTTCATTCTTCCCAAAATGCGAGAGGAGAACAAAATGACTTTTTTTTTTAGTTAAATAAAGTTAAATAAAAAATGTTCTTATTTGATTTGTATATATTAAAATATATTGTATATTTGTATATATTGAAATACAGCTCTAAGACTTTTCTTTTTAAAATCAGGACATGTGGTGTGGTTATCATGGAAAAAATTTTGATACATTCATAAATATATAATAATAATAATAATAACAATAATTAAAATAATAGTAGAAGTAATAACAAAAATAATAATAACAACAATAACAACAAAACCATTTAATAAACCAACAAAATTTATAAATACCTAATCCTCCATCAAATGGAATGTTAATGTTACAACCAACTCCTATTCCAGCACCACACTAAAATTATTTATTGAAGCTTTAAATAGATTCAAACATTAAAAAATCAAAACAACAAAAGTAATACAAATTTAAAGCAAAAAAATGTGTCAGTTTCTTTTTTATAATTCATTTTAAAAATGTTAATTTAATATTAACCTCCTCAGCCTTTCCAGTTCCTGGAAAAAATGATCCTTCATCATGACGATGAATTGATATATACAACACTCTATCATCATCATAAAACATCTGCTGAGTTCCATTGCCATGATGAATGTCCTGAAATAATTTAAACATTTAAAGCTACAAAAATGTAGTTTCTGGGAAAATTATTTCCAAAATAAAAGTTAAAAATAAAAAAAAATTCTCTTTTCCATTTTTCTAAATCAACTATTTCTTTAAAATTAATACTCTCCAAAATTTTCAAATTAATATTTGATGATTATAATCAATATTGATTAACTAACAAAATGTAATTAAATTATAAAATAACTTTATTTAAGTGTTGAAAAATCTTAATAACTCTTTGATTTTGATTCTTTTTCAATTTTTAATTTAATCATGTTTTATTTAATCATATTTTATTTACTTTTTTATTTAATCCTGTTTTTTTTTTGCTCTTTTATTTAATCATGTTCTTTTACTTTTATAAAAGTTTCTAAATATACTTTTGAATAAAAACAACATATGTTGAGTTTAATGATTAAAGAAAAAATAGATTTAGTAAATATCAGGGCCTATTTTAGGAAAAAAATTTGGGCGACAGTGCCCCTTCGCTCCAGTGAACTTAAGCGAAAAATTGGTGCTTTTTTCCAAGAAAAATAATTTGCCGTAAAACGCATTGTAAACATAGTTGGACCTGCTCTTGCACCCAACCTTCAATCTTTGTGACATCGCTGTACTGTTGCTTCTCTTTCTCTTTTCTACAAATACTATAATGGGCACTGCTCTAAAGAGCTAGCATCTCTTGTCCTCATATTTTAATTTAAATAATCCTCATAAATAAATTTTAAAGAGCGGCATCCAAATAGGCGCCTAAACACGGTTGAGGCTATGGAAAACATTCTAGAATAGCCCCTGTATATATATATATATATATATATATATATATATATATATATATATATATATATATATATATATATATATATATATATATATATATATATATATATATATATATATATATATATATATATCAGGCTTTCACAGGAAGGCGTGCGATCACACGTCTTTATATGACCACGCAAAAAATGATATGCTTTAACAATTTGACCACAACCTTTGACATATTTTTAAAATTCAAAAATGCGCTATAAAAACTTACCTAAACTTGTCTAAAAAAATAAAAATTGTGAAAAAAAAAAATCTTAACGAAAGAGAAAATTAAAAAAAAATACTTAGTTAAAGCAAAAACACAAAAAAATAAATATATATATATAACCCAACTAAAGCAAAACTCATCAAACTAAAATGTTTAGTCTATTTAATCTACGCATTAAAAAACCATTTCAATCTTTGTTTTAACATTTGTTCTTTTTTTTTCTATTTATTTAATATGTTTCAAAAGATAACTATTTCTCATAAAAAAAACATAATTGTATAAATAAAAAAAAAAAAACTTTATTAATACTTATTTTAAAAATTAATTACAAGTCTTTTTTTACTTCATTGAAAAGCGTTTTGACAATATAAAAGCATTTAAGATCAAACTTATTTAATTGCAACGGCTTTCTAAAACTTTTCAACGAAATTTTGTTCATCTTTTTAAATGTATTAACTTTAATCATTCTTATATTAAAATTCGTTAAAGAGACTTTCGTAGTCATAGAATGTCATTGTTTATAAAAACAAAATAATTTTTTTATTTTTTAATAACGTTTATTATAGAAATCAAGGATGCGAAGTCCCAAAAGGACTCCTGCTTTATATCTCTATTTTTTCTAGGTCTGTAATGTCTAAAAGCTCTAAACATGTTTGTAGACTTGTGATCTGCTGTAAGAAAAAAATTCATGTGGTTAAATGACTTTTTTTTTTGTGTGTAATTTATTTCGCTGTTAAAAAATGTTTAAATCGCATATACATTTATCCGAATTAATGGCTGGAGTAAGAAGAAGGCACATTTTGCCTTATTGCCGAGCCCCTTATATATATAAAAAAAATTCTATATAACCGTAACATACAAATATATATAAAGATATAAATCAGAATTAAAACAGAAAATAACTAAAAAATAAAAAAAAATTTATCTAAGGACTCCGGGTTCAAAAAATTATTGTTCCTCTTACCTAAAAAACTTTTTTTACCTAAAAAACTTTTTTTCTCTTACCTAAAAATCTTAACTTTTTTTCTCTTAGTAGTCCATAAACTTTTTTATATTTTTAAAGCTCCTAGATACCAAAAACTATGAAGAAGTAATTTTTTTTTGTGACTTTCAAATCCAGAGTCCTTTTTGAGACTCTGCATCCTTGATAGAAATGCACACTTAAATAATTTACATATTATAAATTAAAAAAATATATACAACTGTCAATTATATTAAAAAAAAAAAAAAACATTATCAGTAAATTGTTACTTAATTTAAAAGCGTTTCGCTAATATAAAAACATTTGTTGAGAAGTTTTGATGTAATTAATTTCACTTTTTCAGAATATTTTTTGTATTTATTTAGTGCGTTTTTTGATTTAGCCGCGGTCAAATCGTCATAGCAAAATGTAATTTGCCTGTTCATATAAAGACGTGCGATTGCACACCTTCCTGTGAAAACCTGTATATATATATACATATATATATATATATATATATATATATATATATATATATATATATATATATATATATATATATATATATATATATATATATATATATATATATATACAAAATATGTTTAATTAATATGAAAAAAGTTTAATAAAATACTTTATTGTAAGAACTAACAAATGTGGCATAGAACCAAATAATATATTTTTATTCATTTTATAATATTGTTGTGTTTTGTTATATTCTTATAAATGTTAAATTATTATTCATTTTATACTATTGTTGTATTATGTTATATTATTATTCATTTTAATTGTTATATTATTATTCATTTTATAATATTGTTGTGTTTTGTTATATTCTTATGTTATATTATTACATTTACATATATGATTTTATATTATTGTTGTATTGTGTAATATGTTATATTATTTCTCAAGTAAAAAAACATGAACCATATCAAAATGATTTACTTATTCAAAAGTACCCCAACTTATTACAAATAAAATATATTAAACTGTAGAACAAATACTTAAAATTGTTTAAAAAAAAAAATTTAAATAAACTTTATTTTAACTTAATTACTTTTAAATTTTCAAAATAGAAAATTAAAAATTTTAAAACAAATTAAAATGATAGATATATATTTGAGTTTAAAATACTGACCCAATCAAAGATTAGAACTCGCTCAGCAGCCATTTTTAAACATAACAACTTTGCAGCGATTGCTACGGAATTAAAATAGCAGTATCCCCTTTTAATAAAAAAACAATAAAAAATAACTATAACAACATTTAAAATAAAAAAATAGCAGTACCACCTTTAAACTAAACAAAAAACTATGAAAAAAATTTAGCAAAATTTCAAATTAAAAAAGTAAAATAAAGTATTAACCCGTTAACAGCCCATGCCGTAATATTACGCAAACAAAAAGTGGTTTCTAAATGTCCATATCTTAATATTACACGAACAAAAAGTGGTTCCCACATGTCCATGCCGTAATATTACTGTTTTTTTGCATATCCTTATATTTACTTCTTGTTTATCAGTAATTATACGTCTGCTTGTCACAAAATTTATTACTACGTAATTAAAGAGTTTTTGTTTTAATAATTAACTTTTATATGTGTTTACTTTTGTTTTAAATATGGCGAATAAGGAAGTTTTTACAGTGAAAAATTCATTATCAAAAAAGCGAATATTTACTCACAAAGAGATATAGAGTTATATATTTGATGAAAGTGAAGAGTTAAGTGAAGTCTCAGAAGAAGATTGTAGTTTATCTGATGTTTCTAACGGTGAAAATTCAGAACCAGAATTATTAGAGCTAGGTTTAAAAGAGGAAACGCCTGCATTGCTCGATGCTCAAAGTTCTAGCGACAGTTCTTTAGATAATGAACCTTCAGAGTTTTCATACATACCATTATGGACATCTGAACCTCCAGTTAATAGAGTTCAACCTTTTGCATTTACCGGTGTTTCTGGGTACAACCAGAATATAGTCAAAAATGATTCTCTTTATTTGTTTGAACTTTACTTTACAGATGAAATTTGTGAGTTTATTGTAAATGAGACCAATTGATTTGCTTCCTAAATTATAAATAAAAAAGAATTATCAGCAAATTCCAGAATGAGGCGCTGGTTGCCTGTAACAGTTCCAGAGATTAGGCAGTATATTGCAATTTTTTTATATCAAGGAGTACTATGGAAGCCCACGTATGAAATGTATTATATAACAAATCCATTGTTTTCAAGGGCTGGTTATCTTATAACAAATTCAGGTTAATTGACAAATTTATTCATTTTGTTGATTCTGCTACATTACCAAATAAACATCCTGTTCTATCTAAAATACGCATAGTATAGGATTATCTTACTAATAAATACAAGGAAGTACATTACACCAAGTAATAAATACAACAACACAAAGTATATCTGTAGATGAATCACTTTTGTTGTGGAAAGGTCGACTATCTTGGAAACAATGTATTCCAGCAAAAGTGCTAGATTTGGCATAAAAACATTTTCATTGTGTGAGTCAGATTCAGAATATGTATGGAAATCAATTTTATATACAGGATCTGAGCTAACTAATACTCTAAGTTCAGAATATTGCTATGTTGGAACAAAAATTGTAATGTTTCTTATGGATGGCTTACTTGACCAGGGCTACAAACTCTTCATTGACATCTGGTATTCTTCTTATGAGCTTTCATCAGTTTTGTTGCTAAGATCTACAGATACCATAGAAAAAATTTGCAAGGATCAAAAAGGTTCACCTAATTCTATTAAAACAAATTGGAAAAAAGATGAACAAATAGTTTTATACGAAGAAAAAACAAATATAATGGTATCACATTGGAAAGATAAAAAAGATGTATATACCATATCAACTTGTGTTAATGATGGGACTAAAAATGTATTAAGATCTGGAAAAGAAAAGCAGGTTAGTTATCGATGATTACAATCAAAATTGGGTGGAGTTGATAAAAGTGACCAAATGATGACATCGTATGAAGTTGAAAAAAGAAGAGTGAACAAAAGGTACAAAAAAGTGTTTACTCATTTGATTAATCAAGCAGCCTTCATTGCTCAAATAATTTGTAATAAAATGGGTCGTAACATAACACCTTTAAACTTTAGAGTACTTTTAATCACATCAATGATTCAAAGATATGGTCAACAACCAAAAAAAATCTCACTCTAGATTGTTGGCAAAAAAGATTAATGCTTAGAGAAGGTGTGTTGTTTGTCACAAAAATAAAGTTCGAAAATATTTGAGATTTGAATGAGTAGATTGTGATGTAGGACTTTGTGCTGCTCCATGCTTTGCAAATTATCATACAAGAAGTAAATATTAGTAAAAATTTTTGTGTTTATATAGTATGATTGTATATTCTTAAACTTGAATAATTATATTTTATTGATTTTATTGTTTTTATTAGTGTTGAAAATAATAAAAACTTTTTTTTAATTTTTGTTTGAAAAACGCAATGCTTTGAAAAAATACAGGACATTCAAAATTTCACTTAAAAAAAAAAAAGCCGGACTAATAGTGACTGTAGTTTAAAAACAACACTGGACTGTTAAAGGGTTAATTATGAGGAAACTTATGACAGCAGTAGTAGAAATAAATATATGAGAAATTGTAGAAATTTTATCAAGCACAAAAATAATAATTTATATATTTATAATAAGGCAAATGTGTAATCAAATAATGTACTAAAATTTAATGTATGTGTGTGCGTTTATATATATATATATATATATATATATATATATATATATATATATATATATATATATATATATATATATATATATATATATATATATATATATATATATATATATATATATATATATAGTATATATATATATATATATATATATATATATATATATATATATATATATATATATATTTATATATATATATATATATATATATATATATAAATATATATATATATATATATGTATATTTATATATATATATATATATATATATATATATATATATATATATATATATATATATATATATATATATATATATATATATATATATATATATATAGTATGTATGTATGTATGTATGTATGTATGTATGTATGTATGTATGTATGTATGTATGTATGTATGTATATATATATATATATATATATATATATATATATATACACATTATAAAGTAAAAATAAAACTTCCTTAAAAAAAAATGGGACGGCAAAATTTAAAAATTTTTTTACATTTTCATAAAAAAGCTATTAAAAAAAAGCAACTTTGTGTCAATTAGTTTTAAACTTTAATTCATATATATTAAATAACAAATTCTATTACACTATATCCTTCATTAAAAGGGAAAAAAATTAATAAGTTGTAGAACTTGTTAAAAAAATATAGAAGTTGTAAAAATGGAAATCAGAAAAATCTTTTTTTCTTCTTTTTAATAAAAGTAATGCAAAATGGTTTCCGAAATTTTACACTTTTTATTGCTAACTACTTAATACAACTAAATTTTCCTCACTACAACAACATAAAAATTTTATTTGCAAGTATTTTAGTCAGTTTTAATACTTGGTTGCATAAGTTTTGCCTAATAACCGTACAATACATGCATATATATATCAGCGCTAGGAATAACGGCTGGTCAACGATCAATGATCGGCTATTTTTGGGGAAATTTCAAAAAATCCAAGAGAAAATAACCTGTTTTTGTAAAAAAATTACATTTGATTGGCAAGCTTCGAAAAACTATTTCGAGCGCTGATATACAATATATTTTTTAGTTTGAACTCCTAAGAGAATAATCCAAAACCTGATTAATCATTCTGCGTAGCTAGTTTGGTAATTGATAAATGTTTTACCTGGTTTCAAGTCAATTTTAAAATAATAGGGCAAATTAGTTAAATGTCTATAAATAAAATAAAAATCAATAAAGCATATAAAACTCTATTTGATTAAATTCCAAGAACAGGACAGTTTTACACCTTTACCAGTAAACATCTTTTATCTAGCTAATATAATTACCAGGTAGGCATACTGTTGTTGTTAATTACCAATTAGGCTTCCTTTAAATGTCTATATATATATATCCAAAATAAATATCCAAAATCTATAGGCTACAATCTAAAAATACTCTTTCTATACTCTTTATATTCTTCTTTTACTTTTTCCCAGAGCTTGCAAGACAACTTTTGTAGTGTAACTTTTGCAAGTAACTTTTGTAGCCCTTTTGGTAGTGGTGAAGATTTTTAATACAGTCTTTGCTTCATATCTACAAAATATCACCATCATTTATTTGAAATGGTAGAACTAAAATTATCATTAAAGATAATTATCTAGCCAGGTATCCTTTATGCCTATTACTTAGGCAAGTTTTTGCAGCATCGTCTTGCTCAATACTTAAAGAGTTTACTGAAAATAATAAAAAATATATTCTTCGTTTATATTTTTTTAATTAAAAAAAGAAAACGTTGAATTGACTTAGTTTATTAGTCAATAGTAATCCTAAATTTTTGTAATTTTTTATAATGTAATGTTTAGTACTTTTTAAAGTTGAAACAATACATTTTTAATCTGATTTTTTTGATTCAAAGATTAAATTCTATGTTCTTATCTTGTCATATCTTGATATTTATATTAGCTAAATATGCCAAAAAATGTTCTGTTGCTCATTTTAATTTAATTAAATTGAGCAACAGAAGCTGTAAATATATAAATTTTACAAATTTCATATTATTTAGTACATTGAAGCTGTAAATATATAAATTTTACAAATTTCATATTATTTAGTATTTACATTAAGTTAGTTATGAACATTATATAACATCATATTGAAACCATAATTTACAACTTTTTAATGAATAATAATTTAATTTTATCTATCAACTATATCTAAAAGTTATACCATACTTGTTCAGTTGAATTACAAAATTTTAGCTTTTCTAAGAATTACAGCATTATTAGTTATTTTGGTGTCATTGTCTGTACAAATGACAAACATCTGTTGGCAGTAGACAAACAAATTCATTTTATAGTTGTAATTATTATGTAGTTATTGTTTATAGTTTAACTTGTTTAGGCCTGCTTTATTTTTAAACTAAAGCAATTAGTATGATACAGTTTTCTATTAAATTTTTTAAAAATATATATGGGCTTGATGTAGAACAAGAGAAGCTATCCCTAAAGGCTCCAGAAATGAATTATCCTTCAAAAGATTCTAAAGGGATCAGAAATGCTAACAGAAACGTAGATCAAGTTTACAGATGCCTGAGATAATTCTTGATTATACTCTGTATGCATGTATGTATGTATGTATATATGTATACATATATATATATATATATATATATATATATATATATATATATATATATATATATATATATATATATATATATATATATATATATATATATATATATATATATATATATATATATATATATATATATACAAACTTTATTTTCAAAAATTATGTAATTTTCTAATTTAGTTAATTTTAACCACTTCTGCAGATTAGTTAATATTTCCAGTTTAATTATTTTTTGTTGCTGTTATTTTAATAAAAGATATAGTGTAATAACAATTGATATTTTGTATCTAAGAGAAAAAATTTAAAAATAATTAAACAACATTGAGTTGTATTCTGTCCCATTTTTCTTTTAGAACACCATGTATTTATAGATTTTTAATAATTTTAATTTAAGATTATTATTGATGTAAAGAAATGAGAATTACATGGCTTGATGAGTTTCAGCATGATGACCAGGAGGTCTAACAATAGCAAACCCATTTTTTAATTCATTGGAAGCAACTTTAAAAGCTAATTCAATGACACATCCTGCAGCCTTTAAAAGATATATATATATATATATATATATTATTCATTTATAATTTTTAAACAATTACATATATATAAATTATATATCAAATATTCTATACCATGCGAGCTGCGTTTGAAGTATGGGTATCGTTCCAAACTGTAACCGCATCAACCTAATTTATAATTCAAATCTTAACATAAATATATATATAGTTCAAATCTTACAAAAGTTACTTTTTTTTTTTTTTAAATTAAATTTAAATCTTACAAAACTATATTTTTTGCAACCAAAATAAAAGCTTTTTTTTTTAGTTGCAAAAAAAAAAAAAAAATACTTTTTAAATGTAAAAAACTCATGCATCAATTCAAGTTTCTAAAACAAATGTTTCACGATAAAAAATAATTTCTGTTTCTAAAATTTTGAATTATTTTGCTTTTTTTAATGACATGCAATATAAACAATAAAAAATATAAACTTAAACTTACCCCTACTCCACCACATGATAGAGTAGTAAAACAACGTAAATTTTGAGTGCCTGGAAATAAAAAATTTAATTCAATTTTTCCTCTCTTTATTTATGTGTGTGTTTATATATATATATATATATATATATATATATATATATATATATATATATATATATATATATATATATATATATATATATATATATATATATATATATATATATATATATATATATATATATATATATATATATATATATATATATATATATATAATATTTCCAAAATAACAACTAAAAAGTCTTCTTCTTTAAAGAAAAATACTATTTTACTTTTATTTTTTTACAAATTTTATTTAAGGATTTAGAGATAAAGTAATACAGCTAAATTTGCCCAAAAAAAAAACACTTTGACAGGCCTTGTTAAGAAGCGTTACACAGCTTGCATTTTTTTTGGAGGCGTTTAGTTAGGCAAAAACTTTTTTTTTTTAAATATTAAAAAATATTAATTACCTTTTTATTTTGTTTATGTGATGTTTATTTAGAAAATATTAGGTCATAAAAAAAAGGCATTTAACCATAACTGAGAGTTTTTTAAAGAAACAAATTGCTATATAAAAAAAAAATAATAATAATTTCAAGACTTTAAATTAAATATGATTTTAAAAATTTGATTTTAGTTATGAAGTAATGTAAAATAGTAAAACATTGAATGTAAAATTTAGTTTCAAATGAATGTAAAATAGTTTTGCAACTTTTATTAAATTATTTATTAAATTATTATTAATTAAATAATTAATCAAATTATTTATCAAAAATAATCAAAAAAATAAAAAAGACTTTTTTTTCTTATCGTCTGCAAACTAATAAATTACATAAAACATGTCTCTCCATCAAAGGTTATCATAGATAGTGATATCATAAGAAAGCAAACTAAAAACTTTTTTTTCCTTATAAAAAGAGAAAAGTCCTTTAGTTTAAGAGAATTCTTTTCTCAAATGAATTTAAAATTTATTTCTTATTAATTCGACATCATGTAAAGTTCTTTTGACGTAATACATTTATGAACATAAATTACGTTTACAAATTTCTTATAGGCAACTTTTTTTTTTTTAAATTTACCTCCCCAAGGCCGAGAAGGCCACTACAGACAAGGAGGCTACTTAATTGTGGTAATAACCCTCTCTCAATTCTATAACTCCAAAAAAGGAACCTTGGCGAACAAGGCCGCTGCCCAGAGAGTGTGGTACTACAAGGGACGTGGTGGAGATCGAACTCGGAACCTCTTGCTTATGAAGCGAGTGTTCTACCACTACACCACTACACCAACTTATAAAATCTATCTGTAAATTACTGGATTTATAAAATCTATCTATAAATTGTTTATAATCTTTATCAAAAATACTACATTAAATACATAAAAATTAAAATAAATAAAAAAACAAAAGATTATGTAAGTATAAGATTGTTTTAAGAAATAAATTTAAGAAGGAAATATGAAATATAATCTTTATCAAATACCGAATTTCGATTCTATTAATAACTTTTTTTAAATCAGTTAAATTATTTTTAAGGTGGTTTAAAATTAAATTTAATTATGTGAAATTTTAAAATATTTTGAAAATATCAATAGTTTTCAGGCTACTGTAACAAATAGGACCTTAATAATTACAACACATTAAAAGCAAAGGGTTTTGAATTATTTGCAAATTATTTTTATATATTTGCCAATACTTCGTTGCTGTAAAAAGGAGCGCAAATTTTTTTTATATAATTTTTTTACATCGGCATGTGCTTTATCTGGAAGAAGAAAAGTGAATGTTATCAATAGTTTACAATATTACTTTTATTTACACAAATTATTTTCTGCTTTACTAAAGGATGTAGTTTCAATTAACCAGCTTGTGATGATAAAAAAACTTTAGTGTTAAATTCTACCAAGATAATAAAGAAAATGTATAGATTTCTAAAATTATTAAAATTTTACCAAGATAATAAAGAAAATGTATAGATTAAAAAATTAACTATTTTTTAACCCAACATACTTATGACCTTAAAAAGAGAGACAGATTCCTATAATGTGATCTCAAAATTGCTGTGAGAAACAGAAAGTGGATGCACATGTTTTGTTGAAGGACACATGGACTAGACAATGCCTCTGCAGGTGTTTCAAGTAGTACTTAAAGTTTGTATTTTCAAGGGTGGCAACATAATCAGTCCCAATTAAAGCTAACCCTCATCAAGGTGAACTATCTTCTTGTGATGCATAAACTAAGTTGAAGCTGTAAATGGATGAGAAATGAAAAAAATATAGATAAGGAAAAAAAAAAGAGGAGGAAAAAGAAAGGATAACAGAAAATAGTCAAAGTATATAAAAAAGACAACAAATATTTGCATTTCCCAGTCATATAGGAAACTCGCAACAGCAGCAGTAGAGGTTGGCTATAAAAAGCTCAGACTGTCAAAAGTCTCTATTGGGTCAGACAATTTCATTATGACAAACTCAAATGCTGGAAAAAAAAAAAGATATTGATTTAGGAGCAGTGATATGATAAAAGCTGAAGTAAAATGTCATAATTAAATTTAATTTTAAAAATATCATAATTAAATATTTTTTTTCTTTACCATTATATAAAAAAATATTGACATATATATAATATATATATATATATATATATATATATATATATATATATATATATATATATATATATATATATATATATATATATATTATATATATATATTATATATATATATATAATATATATATATATATATATATAATATATATATATATATATATAATATATATATATATATATATATATATATAATATATATATATATATATATATAATATATATATATATATATATATATATATATATAAATATATATATATATATATATATATAATATATATAATATATATATAATATATATAATATATATATAATATATATAATATATACAATATATATAATATATATAATATATATATATATATATATATATATATATATATATATATATATATATATATATATATATATATATATATATATATATATATATATATATATATATATATATATATATATATATATATACTAACCTTCTTTTCTTGTACCACTGCCATATAAAAGAGTATGCTTTTCGCTAAAAAAATATATTACAAAAATATACTACAAAAAAATGCATTAGCTAAAAACATTTGATAAATCATAAACTGTTTACAACCTAAATCCTAAACAAAAACTTTACCTATGGACTGTTTGAAGCTCTGCTATAGTAGCTTTGCGAGGTCGTATAAGCTGAAAAAATTTAAACTTTAATATTGAGAAAAAATATATATTATAAAATAAAATCAAACTTTTATAGTTAACAAACATTATTTAGCAATTAGATAATAATTAAATCATAAACATTTACCTCACACATGTTAGCAACACCTGTTTCCTGAAGTCTTGCCCAAATGCTTTGCAAGCGCCCAGCTGATTCTGGATGTTTAGGATAACTTTCACCACATGTACACTGATGCTTTAACATTATAGGATCGTAAACTAAACCAGTCATTTCTTTAGGATGCTTAAATAAGTTTAAAGAAAGTTTATCATCAGTTTCTGATTTTTTAGTTTGCAACTGAGAATCATACAAACGACTATCTGATCCATGAAGACTAGAATCAAAGTCACGAAATTTTAATTTTGATCCATAAATACCTGAATATGACTCAGATAACTGTGGATTTGAACCATATAAGCAACCTGGACTATACCCATTTGAAGGATTGGTCAGTGAACTTCCATCAGTTAATGAAGATGAAACTTGTGACCGAACTTTTTCTTCTTTAGCAACATCCTCCTCTGTTTCTTCCTGAATCTGATTATCTTTTTCTAATCGATGAAAATGAGCATCCAAAGACATAGATTTTGAAGATGTAGCATCTAATTTTTCTCTAAGATGTTCTTTTAAACGCATGCGTGTTGGCTGGCTTGCATTATGAAGAGATGAAAACGAATCTTGATTAGATAAAAAAGGTAATCTTATATGAGCATTACTGTGTTGATGTGAATCTAAGCTATGTTGATCTAATGTTGGACTAGATGTTTTCATATCATAATACTGTGAATGAAATGGGGAACTAAGTGAGGAAGAGTCATTAATTATTCGTGATTTAGAAACATTTTTAGACCTTTCAAAGTAAGAAGAATTAATGCCAAGAGGCTCAGTCAAATGCAAGTAGAGTTTATTCTGAGACTCAAGTAATTGCTTTACTCGTTGTACATCTGATAAAGTAGTATTATCAGATTTTGGTAGATAACGAAGATGTAAATTGTCTATTTCTTTAGGTTCCAGGTTTCTCTCCTGTATAATGTGTTGTAGGTATCGATGATTTGTTGCATACTGAGTTTTTAACATATCTAAGTATTTTGGGTGATCTGGTTGTAAGGGTGCTTTTAGATCAGACGTAGAATCGGTTGGGGGATGTTCAAGGGTGCTCTAATTTAAATTTTAAAAATATAAAATTTATACATGAACTATAAAATATAATATAATTATAAAAATGGGTTTAACAACTTAACTCATAATATTTCTGTAAACTTAATAAATAATCATAAACATGTAGACTTACCATATGTATTGGAAAATAAAGCTTAGTATTTGTACTTTCTATGTTGATATTTGGTAATGAAGGTGACTGGAATAACAAATTATTCTTTTGCGAGCCTTCATAAAAAACATTTCCTTCTGTAGAGTTAAGATATAATGGAGAGGTATCATCTCTTTTTTCTTTTTGATCATCTAAAGCTAAAAATTTACAAAAATCTCAAACTATCAGTATGGCATTCTATAATAACATACATTAAATAAAAAATGTTTATAATAAAGAAACTTTTTGTGAACAGTGTTGTATAAAATCTTATAGCCTAATCACTCAAAATAAATTTTATAGCTAATATAAATTTTATATATATCCTATTCATGAATATATTTGTAAAGTCTTATTCCAAAATATTGTAAAGTTTTATTCCACTTATTTATTTTAATTAATATTTAAAATTGGTCGTTGTGGTTGGTGGTACTTAATATTTTATGTTCAATATAAAGCTT